TGCCAAGGCAGGGGGACACATGTGTGTCCCCCACCCCCAGGACACACGTGTTTGTCCCCCACCCCCAGGACACACCTGCTTCATGCACAGCCCCAGCGACACACATTTCCAAGAGGACACACAAGGCTCCATGCACAGCCCTATGGGAACATGCAGCCCTCTCAGTGACACACACACACACATGGCTCCATGCATACCCCCAGGGACACGTGTCCCTCAAGGACACACGTAGTTCCATGCAGCCCAGGGGACACATGTGTCCAAGATGACACGTGCCTCCATGTACACCCCAGGGGAACATGCAGCCCCCCCAAGTGACACACATGGCTCCATGCACAGCTCAGGGGACACCTGTGACTCCATACAGAGCCCTCAGGACTTGCATACCCCCAGGGACACATGTCCCCCAAGGACATACATGGATCCATGCACACCCCCAAAGGAACATGCAGCTCCCCCATGACACAATGTGCCTCCATGCTCACCCCAGAGAGATGTATCCCCCCTGAACACACACGCATGTGGCTCCATGCACATCCCAGGGACATGTGTCCCTCTCCACAATGACACATGGCTCCATGCACCCACCCCAGTGACACACGTCTCACCCCATGACCCGTGTGCCCGCACACCCAAAAGGGTCCCCGGGGGCCATACCTGGGCTGGGGGTCTCCTCCAGCCTGCTCAGCGCCCACCGAGAGCAGGGCCATGGCTGTCACTGTCTCGGCCTCCTCGGCCTCCCCGCGCTGGGCCTCCAGCAGGGACCGACCCACGGCTGCTGCGAAGCGCCGCACAGACCCCCAGTGCTTGCCTGTAGGGGCAGCGTGACAAGGGACCCCTGGGCTAGGAGGGACCAAGGGACCCCCAGGGACCCCATGGCTGAGATGGACCCAGGGGACCCCCATGGCTGAGATGGAGCCAGGGGGCACCCAGGGAACCCATGGCAGAGATGGACCCAGGGGGCACCCAAGACCAACAGGGCTGACAAAGAGCTGGGGGATTCCCAGGGACCACATGGTTGATATGGACCCAGGGAATCCCCAAGACTCCCACAGCAGGAACAGACCCAGGGGACCCCAGGGATCCCATGGCTGGGATGGACTCAGGGGATCCCCAGGACAGGACAGACTCAGGGGACCTCCAGGACAGGAACAGACTCAGGGGACCTCTGAGACTCCAACAGCTGGGACAGACGGGGGGACTCCCAAGACGCACACGGCTAGGAGAGACTCAAGGGATTCCCAGGAAGCCCATGCTGGGACAGACCCTGGGGACCCCCAGGACTGGAACCGACCGAAGGGATCCCCAAGCTCCCCCCATGGCTGGGATGGATCCCCCCAAGACTCCCACAGCAGGGGCAGACCCAGGGGACTCCCACAAACCCCATGCTGGGACAGACCTGGGGTACCCTGAGACCCCCCCTGTCAGGGACATCCCTAGGAAACCTTCTTGGTCCCCCTGCAAAAGAGAGAGAGCCCTGGGGACACCCTCAGGATCCCAGTGGCAGCACTGGAGGCCCTCCAGCTCCTCCCACACCAAGGACAAACCCAGGGTTGCCCCACTGGAGTACCCCTGTGACCTTTCTGTGTCCCACCAAGACAGAATCAGCCCTGCGGATCCCCCAAGGAACCTCATCAAGGTCCGCCCCTTCCCCCTGTTCTCACTCTGTATCTTGATGACCTTCTCCAGTGTGGCCACTGCATTCACATTCGGCTTCTGTTGCAGCAGGGACGGATCCAGGGGCTCCAGCTGCGGAGGGGAGACATACATCAGTCCCCCAGAACTGCCACCAGTACCCCCAGACCCTCCCCAGAGGGAGCAGGGATGGAACCACAGCCCCTCACCAACCCATGCAGGGAAACTGAGGCACAACACAGGGTGTGCACCCCAATACACCCTGCGCCCAGGGGGAGTCCCTAGGGGTTGGGGAGGGTCCCCAGGGGTCGAGATGTCCCCGGGGGTGCCCCCCTGTACCTCCAGGCCGAGCAGGGCGGAAACACAAGCCTCGGAGGCATCACAGATAGCCGTCAGGTCGTGGCCCCCTTCCAGTGCCAGCACCACCCGGCCCCCCGCCAGCATCATCAGCTGCTTTGTCAGATGCCCAAAACCTGGGGGGCACCGGGGAGGAGGGTGAGGGGTGGTTGGGCCGGGGTCCCCAGCCCAGGATGTCCCCGGACCCCACTCACACTTGGCGGTGACGGAGTAGCCACCAAGCGGGGACAGGTGGCCCTCGACAGCGTCGAAGCCGGCAGAGACCAGCACCAGGTCTGGGGAGAACTCCTTGGCGATGGGCATCACCACCGTCCTGGAGGGCATGGAGTCAGCCAGGGGCAAGGGGACCCCCCCCCCCAAGGGCTGTGGGGAGTCACCCGAGGTGCAAGGATCCTTCCCACGGTACAGGGAACCCCCAGGATGTGGGGAACACCCCCCCACAGGACACTGGGATCCTCCCAGGGGACAGGAGCCTCCCCCAGGACACAGGGATCCTCTGGGATTTGGGACAACCA